GCATGCTTGATATGCAGCTGCGGGAATGGTTCTCCATCAAGCCTTGTCGTTACGATGCAGGGTCATGCAAGACCCAGGTGAACAAATTGCATTGCTTGTGGCCTAAGACGCGCGGTAGACATTGTGAGACCTCCCGAATTGATAGACGGGTTCGCCTGAGGTTCCATGCCCGGATCCCCATTTGGGCGGCGCCGTGTTTTTTGTGACTGACTTTGGGAACATCGCTGGACAAGTTCCGCAAACACAAATCTACCATGGCAAAAGCTCCCACCATGATTCCTTGAGGCCTTTTGACACAGCTCAGCATAGACGACCCTAAGTCCCTTTTCGAAAAGGTGGGAAGAGTGGAGAACGTGTTTTACGGTTGCCTCAAGTCGCAACTAAAGGGTTTTCGACCACCCCGTAAGACTTAGGGAAAGTGTATTTTGCGAGTGATCCCATGTTTTGCCAATGGCTGCTAAAGTCAAAGACATGCACAGGTTCACCCTTTTTGACAAAGAGTTTGGGAAGATTTCGACGGATCCCAGTTGATGATGACGTTAGCTGGCAACTCGCGGGAAATGCCCAGCATGCAAAGATCGCAAGTCTTTAGAACTTATTGGCAGGGCATCTTGCTGGTGGTCAGAAAGGAATGCGGGAATGAAACCAGGGGTCCCCTTCAGACCCACAACGGCATGTCCGTCTACGGCAAGCGCCAAGACCTGCAAAGCGGGCCAGGGGAGTCCCTCATTTTGTGGACCAACTTGGATGAGCGTCAAACTTAGCAAGTGTTTTCGGTTGGACCTGCGCCTGAAACTGGGGGGAAGCTTGATAAGCATGGATGCTTGTCTCTTTGGTTCCTCCCATTCCCCGAGGGACCCTAGGGACCCAGCTTGCTTTTGTGGAACCTTTCCGAAAGTCTGCGGAGGGCAATGTGAGGCTTCCCCGCAGGTTGTGACGCGCTAGGCGTGCAATGCGCTTGCGGCACAGAAGTGCAGATTTTTTTTTTTTTTTTATGAGAACCATACGTGTTCTTACACAGGCAACCGGTAGCCTGTTTTGGGACACATAGTTGTTTGCATGGTCACCCCATCCATGCAAGTTTGTCATGGATGACGCTGTGTTCACTCAACTATAATTTGCTGTGGCGCCGACGAGAGGTTTTCCAACTGTAGCATATGTCGCTTGTTTGATAGTTGTGTTTTCAACACGAAACTCCCGTATGTAGGCTGGCATGACACTTAAGAAGCCAGGACTGTTAGGCAAAACTTTGTTCGGAGGTCCCCAGTACTTAGCTTCCTGCAGCGCCGGAGTTGGCGCAGCTGGTGCTGCCATGCGTGGGCAAAACAAATAAGATGAGGAGCCATGTGCGCCGCAGCAATGAACACGTCGGGGCATGCTCCAGAGTAGCAGGTGCGGTGTGCAATCGAGTATGCATGAGGCAGAATCGAAAAGGCGTATTCTCTGCCTGGCACTCACAGAAACACACGAGTTTCGATCAAACTTACCACTAGTCCATGGCTCATGTTGCTTGAGGGGCACGGGGGAACTCGTGAAATTCAATGTTCCACAGCAACAACAAGCAGATACTACTTTCCCCACATCTTCTTGCGGGAAACCTGTGTAATTCTGAGCGTGGCTTGCACCATTCTTGCCGGACGTGCTGAGGACTTGCCCGAAAAGTTGGCGGTTCCCAAGACCATCAACTTGTCGAACTTCTTCAGCTTCCTTGAGGCTCCCGAAAGCGAATTGGCTCCCCTGTTTGATTTGTTGTTTTGCTTTTTTGCGGGGTGCCCGTTGTTTCCACAGGCAAAATCTAGTTTTTCGGGGTCCTATTTCCAGCTTGCTTGAGGCAGTTTTTTTTTTGCAAGTTCGCCAGAGACTTGCCGGTGCATCAGGTGTTTAGTTGATTGGATTGGATTGTTGACTTGGGGATTTGAATCCCTTGCTTTTGTAGAGTGGGAAACCCCTCCTCATCCACCAAACCAATCCAAATTACCAAGGAGGGAGAAGCTGAGCATATTTGTGTGTGTGCAGGAAGCATATGGGGCTAAAGCAATATTGTCCATGATAAAGATGTCCTATTCCGGATTTCTTTTTTTAGTTCGCAGCTTGTGCGGGGCATTCTCATGATTACTGGGTTCGCTTTTCAATTGCCGATTTGCTGGCATGTCTATGTGACCCCCGCTAGTGAATGTCCAAAGAGCCTGACACTTACTTCACATCTTTGACCAAATCCTGGTGGTTCCCAGCCATCTCCTTAGCCTTCTAGCTTTTTAGTTTTTAGTGAGCATTCCCATTTAACCCACTAAAAGTTAAACGTTTAGCAGGGGATCTGATGCCAGCCCAGAAATCACAGAGCAATTTCGGTGTGTCTAGAAGCCGCAAAGCCTCTTAGGTGCTTTCATGTTTGTTCCCCGTCAACAATTTGTCCCGCAAAGCTTTGACCTTGACTGATGTGGCTTCCAGAGTGCCCTGTTAAATATGGGAGAAGAAGACTTCTTGAGGGAGGAGAGCAGTTGTGTATGAGAGATCCTTGACAACTCGGAGTCAAACAAGTTGTTTGTATGGAAGGGGGGAGAAACAGATGGAATTTGCTCGGCAATGCGAGTGCCCGAGGTCCGCTAGTGCATAGCTCCTGTATGACTCAACATGTTGAGGAGTGATAAGAAAAGAGCCCCCTCAATCAAATTCTGGGGGTCAGCACGGAAAACCAAAAAGCAAATTAAGGGGTCAGAGTTGTCTCAGTAAGTGCTTGGTACTGATTTAGAATTGTTCTAGTATTCATTGTACGGGCTCAATCATCTTTCAAATTAGTTCAGTATTTGTGTGGCATCTTTTCGGTACTGGCCCAGAGATGGTTCTTTTCTCTTTTTCGGCCCCTTAAAGATTTATTACTACTGTGGATGGACGAAATCCTGCACCACCCAAAAAACCCTGGGGTGATGCTTCCCCTGTAAATACCAACAAAACACTGGTTTGCTATGGTTTCAAAGTGGTGCAGGATTTCGTCCACCCACAGTATTAACTTTGTGGGACTTTCCTGACCGCCCCCTTTGAACATATGCTTGGGCAGCTGTTTTAGTTATTTCAACCCCTGGTTGACTAATAGGGGGGTGTCCCCTTTTAGTGGGGATTCATCACTTTTGGAGGGAACACCCCCCGAATATGGGACGGGTTGTTTTGCTGGCTCCGGATCGGCTTCGTGGTTTGTATCTAGCTCCCCCAGTTCCCTTTTACCGTTTCTTTTTTGGGGGAGGGTTCCCTACTAAAATAGACTACATAAAAAAGGGTACCCTTATTCTAACCTCTCTACTGAAGGACCTAGCTATTAGTTAGTGTCGCAAACTAGTATTAACAAGCATTGTTGTTTCGTACTAGTTACTCATTTGAAGTGCTCGGGATCATGTGTTATTTTCTCACCCCGGATGGGCTGCCCTATGTTTACCCACTGAACAAAAATCGTAGTGTTTGTATTTCCTCCCCCTTTGTCCTGTGCTTAAAGGGGCAGGAGACTTGGTAAGTGGTTAGCAAGCCTGGTTATAACCCACTTACCATGGCTATAAGTCTCCGTTCAATGGGTTATTTCACCAGGCCCACTAACCACTTTCTAAATCCCCGATCGCCCCTTGAAGTACTGTGTGTGGATGGACGAAATCCTGCCCCACTTTGAAACCATGGTTGAACCATTGCTTATTTCTGGGGGATTCGTCGGTTTCTTAGGAGCCTCATTATTTTACCATGATCAAAGTCACACCCCAAGTGGCTTAAAGGGAAACCGCCAACCATTTTCTGACTTTAACTCCCAGAAGCCGTCACAATTTGAACCATGGATATACTTCTGCGACATCACCTCCAAGGAAACAGACCTCTTGGAGGTTTCCTTACACCCCCGTGCTGAAATGCTGGATGCTGCGACTCATTTGGGGGAGCACTTTTGGAAGAAACAAATGGCCGCAGCCCCGAAGAGTTCGCACCAGCGACCCGGCGACCCAGAGCGCGCTTTCGCGCGCGCCAGGTGTATCGGCATCGAGAGGGTCTGGATCGATCCCAGGACGCCGGAAAAATGCGAACGCCAAGACCTGCTGGAGTGGTCGACTCACTCCCTGAGTTCTTGGACTTTTGGCACTTTTTTGGGAAGACGATTTTAGTGCTATATATAAACGTATAAATATTATACTTGTTTGGGGCAATCCACTCAGGAAGTGAGTGGCAGTTGTGGTTCAGTGAATAAGATCATATGTTGCTTCAAGTTTAACCCTGCTGAAGGTGCCATGGTCCTCCAGCAATTGCAAGTGAATGGACTGCAATTTGACCAGCCACTGGGCCAAATTTAACATGTGTTCAATGAACAAACCAGAAGGCAAGCAAATTGAAAGGTCCAGAGTCATGACGACATGCGGTAATGTCATTGCGGGCAAGAATGCATCAGTTTGGACTTGCAGTTCTGACTTGATGTTTCCACGTCCACGCCACCGAAGGCAGACACACTAGAAGCTCTTCAGCAGTTCAATGTTTGCAAAAGCAACCTTGGAACAACTTGACCGGATCATTGACAGTTTGCAGCACTTTGACCCTCGTTGCTAATGATTGTTGGATGGACTTTGCCGGCATCAACAAAAGAAGCACTTGCTGAAGTGAGTTACTTTCAACCTTGGTGCTGGCCAATTGGCGTTCAAGTTGATACTGATACGCCCTGCAGTTGTTCGAGACAGTTTTGTCCCTGTCCAAGATTTGACTTTGACGTGTGACAGATTTTGAGGCTTCGGCTCGGGCCGCTTGCTTTTGGGCTTTTGGTTTGAAGGCCCCTGAAGCAACCCGAAGTCCACCTTAAACCAAACAACTAGTTTTAACCCACCCTGCGGATCAATCTCGGGGTCAAACGCAGGACGGCAATTTTGACTTGCAGCTGGTGAGCTATTTTCGCAAGAGTGCTGGACAATCAGCAAGCTCCAGAGAGACTGCCAAGCATGAGAGTTTCAACTTGAAGATTGTCACCAGGGTATGGTTGCAATGGGGCAACCCGTTTTGGGGTTATTTCTTTTCTCACCCACAGCCACATGTAGTAACTGCCACTGGCATTGGGGCCTGGGGGGTTTTGGGTCGGTCGCCAGATCATGGAGCTGGATGCCGCCTTCAACAAGTACGACCGCTCAGGCAACCACACAGCTCGGGGTCGGTTGAAGGGGCCAAGCAAAAGGCCAAGCAAAAGGCGAAGCACAAGGCGAAGCATGAGCAAAATTGGGAGTTAGTTCTTTTTTTTGATACTGCCAACATGAGGCACTTAGCTGCTGCTAGTTGCACTTGTTTTGTGGGATGTTTCCAACGTAAGGCACCAAGCAAGCGGTGCTGTCCGCATTTGATGAGCGCCAAACGGCATAGGAATATGCTGCACAAGGCCTGATGAACATGCGCTTTCACTTGATGATGCGGGTCCCTCACAATCCGCGAAGTCACATGGCTGTGGGTCAAAACCAAAGGGAACCATTTTGGTTGGTAGGTGTACCACCCATTTTAGGCTTTATTTTAGTCTTTTGACCCATGGCCACATGCTTGGAAGTGGTTTATCCTGGAGTGCTGATTGCTGCAGTTATTTTCCTCATAGCTGAGTGAGTTGAGGGTTGAGGGGTCCTTAATATGCAACCACACATAGAGCGCACGTGACTTGCGAATCTGCGATTTGCCCCGTGCAGAAGCGGTGTTTGCATGACTTTGGTGAGCTCCTTGTGGAGCATGCTTTGCTGGATTAAATGGCTGGGAACAGCGATTTCCTGGTTGTGCCAGGGCTGACGCAGCTTTAAAGACATGTTTCTGCGTGTCGTTATTGTTGTTGTTGCTGCCTCTGCTTGTTTTGTTGGCCGTCGTCGCGGTCGCCATCGTGGGCGTGGTCGTCGTTGTCACCCCTGCTGCGGGTGGCTGCCGGTGCTGCTGCTGATACCGCTTCAGGGTTTCACGTTCTGCTGGCTGCTCGACAGGCTATGGTGAGATTGACATGAAGGATGTTGGCAAGGCGGGTGGGAGGACAAGCGTCGCTTTCTTGCTGTCATAATCGAATTGGACCAAATCCTTCAACGGTGCTTTGACATGGCCTGGGGTTTTCTGCCCACGCCATGAGACGGTGCTGTTTTTTGGATTGAGGCAGAGTTTATCCACGTTGAAGCTGGTTCTTAGGGCTTGAATTAGACATTCCAGAAGGTTGCACCCATGACCATCTCGCGCAGGGCATTCCTGACCCTTGCCCAAGTTAACTAATCATTGTGAAGCTATTGGGACGGTACACAAGCCGTGGTCAAGATGCATTGCTTCCATCCATGATGTAGTGACAGAAAGCACATCAAAGTGAACATGAAAACATTGGAGAGCATGTTTCGAAGGAGTGACTTTTGTTCCCCCAACAAAGGACGGTCAAGGGGCACCCATGCAAACATTTGCAGAGTTCCACCGTACAGACCGCAGTTCAGGGAACTGTCACCATCCTCCCCCACCCCCCCTCCCTCCCCCCCCCCCTGGCAAAGAGGTCTGATCACGGCGCAGGTACATGGTGTTGATAGATTTGTGCGGTTGCGAGGTCCTTCTACCAGAATCTTGACCTGTTACAAAGAGTTAACTATGACGCATTGATCTTCACTCGGTTGGGTAAAGCAGTTGAAGAAAAACAGGACTTCACCGAGGGACTTCATCCAGATGTATGAATGATATATATATATATATAAATAGATACAATATATATATATGCCGATGGGAACCCGAAGCTGGTTTGGCCATGCGGAGGTTTGTCAAGAATTGGGTATCCTGCTGTCCTTCTCGATACTGTATCTTGAACAAACTGCCTAAGATCTTTTGTCAAGCTGTTCCATGGCACCGAAGCTTTGCATTTGCCAAGGGATGGTAGGACCTTCACTTTTTGCTAACTCGTGGGCTTTCCGTATTAAACCACTAAAAGTCATTCACGTTTAGCAGGGCTTCGCAGATTTCGCAACCGAGAAAGCGGTGAACATGGCACGTGACTGGGATGTTTCCAGCAGCTTGCTGCCAGGTTCTCCGCTGGATGGGATACACCGCTAGCTTCAATGTTCAGCTGATGCTCATCAAGGAGGCAGATCCCATCACTCAGGTTTCACCCGAAGGAGCGGTATGAGTTGAGACGTTCAAAGCTAGGTGTGGCCGAGGGCGATTCTTTGGCTAGCTTTTGGAATTTGAGTGGGGAGGTGTTTTTGGAAAGTGTGGAACAAAGGATGCACCATCTTTTGTGCAGATCCAGGGATCCAGCCACAGTGGCCCATGAAGCGAGCAGCTCAAGAGGGTAAAAAAACTGAAGGGGAGTGACAGGCATCTCTCAGCGAGGAGCGATCTGAGTACATCCATAGATGGCACCAGAGGTCTAGGTACATCCCAGACCTTAGATACAGCCCATGCACGAAGAAAAAACGAGCCAGGCCTTGAGAATGACACCAAGATGCTTAGCTACAACCCCCTTATCATGTGAAATACAGGGCAGTGATAGGCAAATTAGGCCAACTAGTACCTGTGACTCCTGAGATCCAGTCAATCTGAAGCTGAAGGTTGCACCCAATGCCTGCAATGCATGTTGAATATTGACACGTAATCCTTCAGTCCAGCAACCTACAAGATGCATAGGAGGCCTTTTGATCGTTTGGTTAGAAATTGATGGATTCCACTGGTTTAGAACTATGGTTTATGCCATACATGTACCAGGGAAAGAAACCCACCCATTTATCCACAAGGTCACCTATGACAAGATGCGGCTGCACTGTCAACCAGCCTGAAGATCAGAAGGAGCGTGGTGCAATTGTCTGTTCGAATTGAATCTTTCCCTTTTCTCCACGTGTTGCGCACAGTATCCTGTTGTAGACCTGGACCATTTATGCCTTTGCGGGGTCGTGTGTGCGGGAGATGGCGTTTCTCGCATGACTGTTCACCTGGCCATGACCTGAAGGATTGCCGCTGCGTGTGCACCACCACGCGTATGTTCGCCACAAGAGAACGTCTCATTTGTAATACGGTACCCGTGTTGTTATTCGCTTGTCACATGCCACATTTGCGCCACTTGTTTGGCGCTTGGCTACGTTTTGCTGCTTCGCCACACTGGACGAGGTGGACATCGATGAATCGGGCACCCTGGACATTGTGGAGGCTCGGAAGCTGGTGAGGAAGTTTCAAGAAAAGGACCGCCATCACTGCCGTTTGGCTGGCTCGGGTTGGACTCCCCAAAAGTTGGGTTTTCCTTTTGCTTTCCTTTAAGACCACCAAAACAGGGGTTCCCTTAAACAAAAGGCACACCCATTTGGCAACCAGGATTTCCCATTTCATCTGCTTATTAACATTTCTTTTGTTTTTTGTTTTTGTGTTTGTTGGGTTTCTGTTGGGAATGTTGGCGCCATCCGTTTCTGCCCGGCAAAACTTGATTGAAGGTTGGGAGAGAGTGTGCCAGTGCCTGATTTCCAAGAGGAGCACCCTAGGGGAGGGGCCCTTAAAACGAGTGTTTTGACAAGGGGGCGCTCCATTGGAGCATCAGCTGTTGGTTCCCTGCCTTTTGTCTAGTCCCGTTGGTTGTCCTGTTTTTTCTTGGTCTTGCATGGTGTGTGTGTTTGCCTTAGCTTGTAGGCTTATTTCTTTGCTGCGGGATTGCTTGGCGCTCCTTTCTTTTTCCTTTGGTTTTTGTTCTGGTTGCATGGAATGACCGGTTTAGTGATGTCTCAGGCATTGCATTGTTTGGTCCTGGTGCAAGGACAAACTTCAAACTGAATTTTACTGTGGAGCCTGCAGATGTGGCTGTGGCTCTCAAAAAGGTGCCTTTAAAATCACAGCTTGGTATATGGAGATAACCCCAGCGGTGAGATTTTGAGCCACACCCATGCGATATGTGTACCAGTCACAAGCTCTGGCAAGTCACAAAGGGAAACCCAACACCAGCAAACATACGGAAAACTCCACTTCCCTCCTTGCATCAAATGCTTTCCATACTCCGCCGCCGCATGATCCCCCCAAATCCCCCCATATCTGCTAGGTTCACTTTCGGTGAAGCCCAAACAGAGTACACAGAGTAGCAGCTCCGGCAGGTCAGTCGCCCTACCATTCTCGTTGGGCAACTCCTTCACCTCCGGCCTGTCCTTCGGCTTGATGCTCTCCTTCGGGCTCTCCTCCGAATCTCACCCACATCCCCAAAACACCCCAAAACGGCTAGGTTCCCTTTTGGTTTCCCTTCAAAACAAGCCCAAACCGAGTAGCCTCAAAAACAGAGACCCACACGCGGGCTCCAGGAGCTTACTGCGTGGACGGCCACCTTCCACAGCGCCGTGAGCGCCACAAGCCGGAAGTATCTGGAGGCGAGGTCGTGAGGTGCCCTTGGCGGCTCCCAGCCGTCCGGTTCCTTTGGTTTCTAGGTGTTTGCAGCAGGTGGTTTAGTAGTGGGGCTTAGTGTTTAGTAGTTTTTTGGTTTCTCTATGTTTAGGTGGTTTAGCGGGGTTTTCCATTTAACACCCACAAAAAGTCAACAACTTTTAGCAGGGTATCTGAGGACAGACCAGGTTGGCTGCTGGCTTTTTGGGTGAACCTGGCGACAGGCAAAATACCAGGCGAGTAAGTCTCCGGCTTGACTGGTGAAGCGGACCTGCTGACTTGATTGACCGATCAAAGTTGCTTTTAGCGCGACTTGCTTGAGTGCCTTGTTTGTCGGCTTCGTCAATCTGGGCCTGGCTGCGGTTGACATGTGGCTCGGGGATTGCAAGGTCTTGACCCTTGACATGCAAAACCTAGCACTTAGGCAGGCTTGTTGCTATTGCCATGGTGCAGAGGCTTCCGTTTTGACCAGATGCTCTACTTGAGAGGTTGAACTTGTCAAGCCGCAAAGGGCAGCTGGTGTGACGCTGGGCCCAGTGCGCCTCATCCAAGCTGCTCTGGACCTCGGCAAGCCACGGAAAAAGACGCTGGGTCCACCTTTGATCACGTGGTCGCACTCCACGCCCAGCAAGCTGGACTGTGTGACACTCCGCAAGCAAAACTATACTCCACTTGCATGCTTGCGTCAAACCTTTGATGCAAAGCAACGATTATTGTTGTTTAGTTTTGTCGTTGTCCATGTAGGTGTGCCCAGGGTATTAACAAATATGTGTTATACTTCATCGTGGTCTTTCACAGCTTGACAGAACGGCTACAGAAGTCCCATATTAGTCCTTTAGCCTTTGTCAGTGTTGCATCACACATCCGACAACTCGACCAGCGTTGGTATTGGCCTGGAGGCCGCTTTGCAGTCAGAGCTGGGTTTGTCTCAAATAGGGGTACCCCCTAAATGCTGGTGTTTCTTATGGTTCTGGGTGAATTATAACGACCTCACACGACCTCACCCCAAATCGCGGTTTATGTGGGGAGTAGCCCCCCAACCACCTTATTTCAGGTTGGTGAAATATTATAATTCACCCAGATGGTTTCCCTTCAAAACCAGCCGAAGATGGAGTTGCTTGCCACGGCCGTGGTATAGTCATCCGCCTTTCGAATTTCGGCGCCTGGCAGGTGGAGACGTGCGTGCACACCTTGCGGAGCTTGGGCATCAAGGCAACCGAGTCCGACCGCGGGTAGAACCCATGTATAAAAGTACACAATGTGTATATATATATATATATAATATGTATATGTATATGTATATGTATATTACAAATATGTATGTGTATGTATATACACATACATATCTAAAAATGTGTATCTATGTGTATATATGTGTACATTGAATTCATATATATATATATACATAGATTGATGTGTTTAGTTTTTTTTTCATTTGGCTGAATTCAGGTGGCAGCAAAGGTGAGATTTGTTGCTTGGCGGCTTGCCAGCCATGCTTCATTTGATCTCGTTGTGGGGGATCTGATCTTTGGTGCATTGTGCTTGGATGTCAGGACTTTAACTCTTTGCCAACTAATGGGTTTTCCATTAAACCTTTAAAATTTAAAAAACCTTTCGCAGGGGAGCAGACAGCAACCGAGTGATAGAGTGCGGATCGACTTCTGTCTCCCATGGTGCCTGGTGTACGAGACGAAGGGGTTGAACTGTGCTGGCGTGGCTCCGCAAAGGATGACCGGAACAAGCGCTCCAGGAACCAAGTTGAAACAATCTACTGTACTGGGAACCTCCTTTTGGGTTGGCTCGTCTTGTTTTTGGGAACCCCTTGTTTTGTTTTTTTTGTTGTTCCCTTTTTTTAAAGGGGAAGCCAAAAGGACGACTACAATTATTCCGGCAAGAAAGACATGGGCATCCTGCGGGCGCTTGTATACCGACAACGGCGAGTGGGTTGTTTCCAGCATCTTCACGCGTGAAACATGGAATTGGATTTTTCCATGCCGCGCAACAAGCCGACTGGGGCACGCGACGCACTGCCAACGGCCCTAGATTTACGAGAGCAAGTCGCAACAACAAGTCGCAACGCAAGCGCGTGGTTGGGGAATTATTAGTTTCAAGGTACGTTTCTGTACCTGTGTCCCGCAGCAAACTCTTCCACCCACCAGCAAACCGAAGAGCATATCTGCCCAACACTAAACTTACATGAACTTCATCCTGCGCAGCGTTGCCGAAACGCACTTCGACATCATACAACATCATGATTTTGCGCTAACTACCACGCAAAATGCTTGCGGCCACACTCACGAGCCTCCTTTTCTGCGAGCCGCGCAGTCGAAACGCACTTCGCCGTCATACAACAGCACGATGTTGCGAAAATACCACGCAATATGTTCCCGGCCAGACTCGCGGGCCTCATTTTCTGCGAGCCTGCGCAGTCAAAACGCACCTCGACATTATACAACATCACGATGGCCACGCAATATGCTCCTGGCTAAACTCGGGGCCTCATTTTGTGCGAGCTTGCGCAGTAGAAACGCACTTCAACATCAGACAACATCACGATTTTGCGGTAAAAACACAGCAAAGTGCTCGCGGCCAGACTCGCGGGCCTCATTTTGTGCGAGCCTGCGCAGTCAAAACGCACCTCGACATCATACAACATCACGATTGTGCGGTAAATGCCACGCAAAGTGCTCCCGGACAAACTCGGGGGCCTCATTTTGCGCGAGCCTGCGCAGTCGAAACGCACTTCGACATCATACAACATCACGATTGCGCGGTAAATGCCACGCAAAGTGCTCCCGGACAAACTCGGGGGCCTCATTTTGCGCGAGCCTGCGCGGTCGAAATGCACTTCGACATCATACAGCATCACGAATTCGCGGTACCACGCAAAATGCTCGCGGCCAGGCCGGGCACCTCGATCTAGCACCGGGCCTTGACTCTTACCGTAAGAACACTATATGCCCCAGTTGATTACTGTGGGTGTCTCCCACGTTTGGGGATTCATGACTGTAGGCGAACACCCCCCTGATGAATGGGATCGGCTTGTTAATCCGGCACCGCGAGGGTCACACCCCTTCTGTTGTAGCAGCTGTCAGCCTTTTATGCCATGCCCACAAGTAAAACCAGCAATCTCAGCAAGGCTGCTCGTGAGACCGCCGCATGTCGTGTGCACAACGGAGCAACTATTGCGAGGGGCTGGGATTGTAAAGTACTTTGAGAATGTGTGCTTGTTGTCCTACGAGTGAGCAGTTGCAGCACAGGTCAATGTAGTCGGCCAGTGACAGGGAAGTTGGAGCGAGTACGCCGGAGCTTTTTCGTTCAGGCCACTGTGGAGCAAGTTGAAGAGATCCGCCACCGCCCCAGACACTCAGGCGTGCAGGTTTTGTGACAAAATGCGACTAGTTCCAGCACCTAGTGCCCTTTGCCCTCTTTTGGGGGAGGGTTCCCCTACTAAAATAGACTACAGAAAAAAGGGTGCCTTTATTCTAACCTCTCTACTGGAGGACCTAGGCAACCTTTGCGGTTGGTTCCCAATGACCAAGATGCCAATCATCGAATCATGTGGAAATGTTGCCGCTGAAGGACACTTGGCGGATTCATAGTTTGTGTTCCCCGTAAAAGTGATAAGCAAGCTTTGAAAGGACGGAATACTCTCCCCATGCATTCCACTAAACGGCACTCCAGAAACACAGAGGCCTTGGGCTCCACTCGCAAGGACCACAGACACCACTTTGGGAAAGGTCTTGTTTGGGAGCGCGTAGTGATGAAGGCTGGTGGTGACGAGTGAAGGCGGATGTGAAGAAATTGACAAGGTTCCAACTTCCAACTGAGTTTTCCACACCGCAACATATGTCCCACACTAGCTATAATTAATTCTGCAGTCCGCAACAGAGATGGCAGTGTTGCCGCAATCGACAAGTCTCAATTTGCTAGCGACTGACTACTGACATTGGTTTTCAGTGGCTCCTACACTACAATTTGTTACCTTTCCTGTTGGCTGGTTGAAGCAAAGGCACAGATCAGCGTTTTTCGCTTGCCGGGAGGGTTCCGCAAGTTCTAGGTGTATACCCTGTACGCCAGCGAATGTGGACAGAATGAAGGCTTTGCCGGCATTATAGGCCCACCGTATTTATTTGGCAATGTGGTATGTGTCAGAAACCAGGGTCCTATGATTGATTCCCTTTAAACCAACCTGCAGAATTGCAGCGCCCAAAATTCATCTTTGGTGCATGTTGCTTGGATGTTAGGACTTTAACTTTTGCCAACTAATAGGTTTTCCATTAAACCACTAAAACTTAAACTTCCTGCAGGGGAGCAGAAAGCAACCGAGTCATTCTGTTCCTATGTGTTGGCCGAGGTCAAGAACTGGCTGTGCGCCTCCAGGTGAACAAGCAGCGGCGCTTCAGTGCGCGGACTGCGGCAGCTTTTCGCGTTTTGCAGTGAAATGGAGTGGATATGGGTTTGTCTCGAAGTGGGGTGCCCCTCCAGGTGGTTTCCTTTTGTCTCCTTGTAAAGCCAGCCAAAAAGAGGTCCCCTTTGAGGCACCACGTTTCTGCAATTGCTTCGGGTTTGACCTTGGAGCATTTTCAATTTTCGGACTGCTGATCGGATTAATGGTGTTCAGAAGTAAGAGAGTCAGCGACACCAATACAAGAGCCTTCTTCACTCATAGTATGATTGTCTACTGTTAGCCAGCACATCGGCCCTTACGTTTTCAGCTTGTGTTCCAATTCCCCCATTTGCCGCCCTCAACAACAACAGAAGAGGACGAGCGCCGTTCAAAGCATGAACAGAGGAAAAAGACGGATGACGAGTCTGTTCCCTGGGTTATCTTCTTTGATTGTGTCTTTTATGACGCGATCTCACCGATCCGGAGGTACAACGAGCGAAATCCATGATAAAGGTCCTTTACTTGGAGCCAATTCTTAATTCTGCCGTTGGAATTATGGCAACAATTGCAAACTTTTGTTTGTATAGCAGATTTCCAGCACACTGTCACATTGGGAACACTGCTCATGCCTTGTCTTGTCTTGCAAGCGAACCTCTTGGAGGCTTATGCCAGGACATGAGGTGGTTTCTCCGAGGAGAATTGGTCTCCGAGCCACTGAAAGCTTTAACTTACTTTGTCAGTTGGTGTTTGTGGGAAGCAATCCACTCCCTGAGTTCTTGGACCTTAGTCACTTCTTAGGAGAACCATTTAGTGGCATATTTATATATATATTTTTTTAAAGTGTTTCCTTGGGCAATCCACTCAGGAAGTCAGGAAACGGGGCACACGAGCTTTCCGGGGCTTTACAGTTACATGCTGTGAAGGCCATCGAATCCACAGACGCGCTTCTTTTGGCGCAGCCGCGTCTCTTGTTTTGCAAAGGTTTTATCAAACCAAGGCGTGAGAGGTCATGCTGAATTCAGGCTGCAAGGTGGCAAGTATGCTTATCAACCCACTTTCGGCTGTATTGTTTAGACAGCCTAGATTATCCAGTGCCCTTGGACCATTTCTTTTTTGGGGGAGGGTTCCCCTACTAAAATTGGAAAAGGGTACCCTTATTCTCACCTCCAAAACTGGAGGACCTATTAACAAATGAAAATCCGGCACGTGAAGCGGAAGGCAACGAGCATCGCCTTGAAGACCTTGTCACGATCTGGCATGTCACAGGCTTGCAGCTACGGCTGGCAGGGCGCATTTCCACGGGAAACCCGCGAAAACTTGAAAACTTGCAGGAAACCCATGGAAACCCACACGAAACCTGCAGAAAACCTTGGGAAGGAAAAGGAGAATGGGTGGTCCGAGTTGCTGCCTGTGGCAGTAGAAGCACTAGCGCAAATGCTGAAAGTTGTTTTGTGCGCATAATGGCCCAGTAACGGGATCTGTACTCCATGTTCATTTATTCAGAAAGTCCACCTAGCAAGATGTAGATTAAACAGGGTTCAGCCAGAACGAAGAGCCAGTGGTTTTTGGGCTTCCTTCTCCGCTAGCTCCCTTACAACAAGATGCAGCGCGCAGCATGCCGGGCATTGAGTTTGCCGATTTTCGAAGGCCCCAGTCTGCGGCGGGTTTGCGCAGGTACTATTTTGCCTTCTCCGACAATAGACCTTGCCCACGCCTCAGACATTTCTGGTTGGGCGGGTGCTGTTGTGAACACCAAGGAGCACGGTACGACAACATGGGCTAGACTGCGTGAACAGACCTAGGAAGTGATTTACGCAATGAACGATGGTCAAACCTTCATTGGCAAAAGTGGCCACCACATAGCGTTGCAGCTTTGTCAGAGGCATGTTCGGAGCTGCCGGTTCAGACGGCCGAACGCCCGCGTGTTAATGTATGTCTAAGTGTGGCGTCAAACCATGGAAGTCCACGCATGTTTGGTCAGCTGTGCAGGCGGAAGCTGGGGATGGTGTTGTTGTGGCTTTCTGGGAGTGGTGTTACTTTTGGCGGCGATTTCTTGTCATCCTGACAAAAAACACTGCTTTTCCAAAACATGTCCAGATGCAACAGGACATGAACAAACACACACATACACACACAAACACACACACACACAAACACACACACACACACACACACTCACACACACACACTCACACACACACACACACCACACACCACACACCACACACCACACACCACACACCACACGCCACACGCCACACACCACACACCACACACCACACATCACACATCACACACACACACGCACACACACACACACACGCACGCACACACACACACAGAGTCACACACACAGTCACACACACAGTCACACACACAGTCACACACACAGTCACACACACACAGTCACACACACACAGTCACACACGCACACACACACACAGACACACACACACACACAGTCACACACACAGTCACACACACACACAGAGTCACACACACACACAGTCACACACACACAGTCACACACACACACAGTCACACACACAACACACACACACACACACACACACTCACACACACACACACACACACACACACACACACACACACACACACACACACGCCACACGCCACACACCACACACCACACACCACACATCACACATCACACACACACACGCACACACACACACACACGCACACACACACAGAGTCACACACACACAGTCACACACACAGTCACACACACAGTCACACACACAGTCACACACACACAGTCACACACACACAGTCACACACGCACACACACACACAGAGTCACACACACACAGTCACACACACAGTCACACACACAGTCACACACACACAGTCACACACACACAGTCACACACACACAGTCACACACACACAGTCACACACACACAGTCACACACACACACACACAGTCACACACACACACACACCACGCACACCACGCACAGCACACACACACCACACACACCACACACAAAACACACACCACACACACCACACACACCACACACACCACACACACCACACACACAACACACACAACACACACACAACACACACAACACACACAACACACACACATACACACACAACACACACAACACAAGCACACACACAACACACACACACACAACACACACACACACACAACACACCACACACAACACACACACAACACACACACACACAACACACACACAACACACCACACACAACACACACACACACAACACACAACACACACACACAACACACACACAACACACACACAACACAAACGCACACACAACACAACACACACACACACAACACACCACACACAACACACACACACAACACACACAACACACACACAACACACACACACACAACACACACACAACACACACAACACACACAACACACAACACACACAACACACACAACACACACAACACACACACAACACACACAACACACACACACACAACACACACAACACACACAACACACACAACACACACAACACACACACACAACACACAACACACAACACACAACACACACACAACACACACACACACAACACAAACGCACACACACACACAACACACAACACACAACACACACCACACGCCACACGCCACACACCACACACCACACACAACACACAACACACAACACACAACACACAACACACAACACACAACACACACCACACACAACACACAACACACAACACACAACACACAACACACAACACACAACACACACCACACAACACACAACACACAACACACAACACACAACACACACAAACACAACACAACACAACACAACACAACACAACACAACACAACACAACACAACACAACACAACACAACACAACACAACACAACACACAACACACAACACACAACACACAACACACACACACAACACACACACACACACACAACACACACACACACACACACACACCACACACAAGACACACACACACACAACACACACACACACAACACACACACAACACACACAACACACACACACAACACACACACACACAACACACACACAACACACACACAACACACAACACACACAACACACACAACACACACACACAACACACACACACACACAACACACACAACACACACACACACAACACACACAACCACACAAGACACACACACACAAGGAGGACATGATGCAAACAAACGCACAACAAATGAGCAACAAAATGCTCAGGGCTCGGAATTTGGAGCGCAAATATATGTATATATCAACATATGTCACGAGACTCTGCCCATTATGTCGCCAGATGCCCGCCAAGAGCGTGCTTTTGAAGCCCAGCCAGGAGGATCTTGGGAGAGGGGTGAGGGCGGTGAGGGAGTTGGGTCTAGTCCGGATCCACTCACCTCGCAGCCACTTTCCTAAGAGGGATGCCTTTTTGTTCAGATTCAGGTCGGAAAAGCTGCGGATTGAGCTCAGGAAGCTGACACCGCAGCCACCTTCCTAAAAAAAATGCTGTTCTTTTGTTCAGGCCGGCGAAGAAGCTGCTAGGCAAAGGTTTGGTTTGGCGTTCCTGCAAAGGAAGCGTCACGACTTCCTTTCAATACAATCTCAAGCTGCGGGTGGGCAGGGCCCCATTGTTTGCAGAGCTGTGCACTTGTTTGATGTATATAAGTTATATAGGTGCAGTAGACATGTAATGAGTGGTTTCTAGTCATACAGCTCGTGTGGTACGGGGCTAGTAGGTCAAGAAAACGACGGGTGGACGACGGGTGGGCGACGGGTGGGCGACGGGTGGACGACGGGTGGACGACAGGACGACAAAAGGACGACAGGTGGACGACGGGAGGACGACAACAGGACGACGGGAGGACGACAAGAGGACGACGGCAGCACGACAAGAGGACGACGGGAGGACGACGAAAGAAAGACTAGGAACACGACGAGAGGATGACGGGACAACGAACGGACAACACATTTTTTCTGGGATGTCAATTGCAAGCAATACGGACTGGCTAAATCACCGCGACTCTCTATCTGCAAACGTCAAACTGCTACAAGGACCTGACGTGTGAAATGACATATGAGAGAAGTGACATACGAGGCTACTCCTGCGGCACCTGCGCGACTCACATGAAAAAGACACGACGCACGCTGGTGACCGGTTGTTCCTGTCATCATCTCACAAATTCCTACACGGCATAGCGAACGCACAGTCGCATAAACACGTGCGAGAACACGAACAATCAATGCACTGATTGCACACGACACTGCTTAAGCCGTCCGTCTTCTGTTGTCCTCATGTTGTCCTGTCACCGTCCCGTCGTCGTCCTGTCGTCCTCCCTTCGTCCTCTTGTCGTCCTTCCGTCATCCTTCTGTCGTCCTCCCGTCGTCCTTCCGTCGTCCTTTCGTCGTCCTCCCGTCGTCCTTCCGTCGTCCTTTCGTCGTCCTCCGGTCGTCCTCCCGTCGTTCACCCATCCGTCACACCGTACAAATGATCGTCACCACCGCCCGTACTGTTTCTTAATTACCTACTAACACATGTTTGCTGGGCCTAGCTAATATATAATATTCCGCTTCATGTGCATATATATATATATGCATAATGTGGATAAGTACATACTGTAGATAAGTACATGGTCTTTCATATTGTCCTCCTTGAACCTCGTGACTTGCTGCGGATCCTTTAGAGAAAGCACTGATTTAGGCAATTATCACGAGCTCCGGGAGCAACATGAGCTAACCGATGATGAATACCTCCTGACTCCGAATTTTCCGGTTTGTGAAGTTGACGGGTGTGTTGAAGGAAATTACTCTTGTTCAGGTCTGCTTAAAGGGAAGCCACAGGGAAGACCATGATTTTGGGTGTCCCCCCAATTTGGACGACATGGGGCGTGATCAATATTCCCTTCGGGGCCCACAACAACCATGGGTCACTTTTCCCATTTAGCCGGTGAAAGTTGTCCTTCTTTTTGTAAATGACAATATTGCTTTTTGGAAATGACCATGGGATGACCATGGGATGACCATATTTCTTTTTGTGGTTTCCGTGATGTTCATCCCCTGCAAAGGACCTTTTGGTCGAACCCCACGTACCCAAATTTGTCACACCCCGCCCCACTCACCGCCTCCAGGAGGCCGACGAGTCTTCCTCCAGCTTTGCTGATGCCAGCAGCAGCCAAGGGCTCAACCGCCCGTCTGCCCATCTTGAAAACAAGGGATACCAATATGAGCTTGTCTTTGTTGCAGGGTACCCCATGTGTTGTGAGTTTTAAAAGGGGAACCAGAAGGGAAACCCATTGGGGGGTCCCCTGAAAGAATACACACCCACATATGGACAGATAATTGCAACCTCCTGCATAGTCTGTCTCAGTTCGTCCTGGGATAATTTGAAGATGCTGAAGTTATATGTTGAGTCCGGGTTGGACATGCCCAGCATTGTGTTCGGCGCATTTGGAGAGGCATGTGATGCATGTTTTCTGGCGGACCCGCTTTCTCGTTCAGGCTCAGAGGAGGAGAGCGAGCCGGAGGCGGGGACGAGCATGAAAAGCAGCAGGCAAGGAAGCGTACGACAAAGCGAAGAATTCGCGGAAGCACGAACTCGAAATTCTAGATGTTGCAGACGCACAACACCAGGATGCGGTCAGGGCGACAAATTGCATGTGTACGCGGGCAAATTGGATTGGTTACTTGCCCTTGCGGCTAGGTGATAACATGAATCGACCTGGGACTTACCACTGTCCAGATAGCTATGAGTATTGGCCTCTGGTCAGGCGCCAACTTCCTATAGCTAGCTCAACTAGGATTCAAATGTGTTTTCTTGGAGGCAATTCCTGCAGCGAGCTCCCACTCGGCGCAACCTGGTCCAACAAACAGACAAAGACACACACCGTGGTCCAGTGTCTTTGATGCCATTCTTAGCCAGTCTGCCACTCCTCACAGTAGACATTTGTCACCAGAGCGTGCTCCGCATGGAAAGCTTGCACTGTTGTTTTGATTTTCGAGCTGGCATGTGCAGAAAACCCAAACCTCCGGTAAGGCAGAAGGATCTTCCAAAAAGATCCAAAAGGAACCATGAATAGCGAAGCGTGCTTTCTACAATAAACCTTTGGGGACCTGGGGAGATAGAATGAAAGTAGGAAAATCAAGATAAATCAATGCTAGGTTCCTTCTGATGGACCTGCAAAAACTTTGTTCCATTCAAAGTAAGGCGGCAAAGAGGTCTCAAACATGAGCCTTTCTCAGTCGGCCAGTCGCGCGGACGGCAGGTGACAATGAGTTCGCAGGCTTCCGGCCATGAGTTCACTGATAAGATCGACCTGGCGGTGTTCCACCTCATCTGCGCCAAGCTGGTGGCACAGGCAGGTCTACTTTAGCTGTTTTGCACCGGGCTTACTTGACCCACTGCTTGTCACCACCAGGCATAAGCTTTATGCTCAAGCACCCTGCAACAGCACCCTGCAGCAACAGCACCCTGCAGCAACAGCACCCTGCGCAACTTTGAGTTTCGGGCCGCAGCAGCACCCGGCAACAGCACCCTGCAACAGCACCCGGCAACAGCACCCTGCAACAGGACTCTGCAACAGCACCCTGCAACAGAGCCCCGGAATTCTGAGTTTTACCCACCCCTTCTTCACCTGAAGTTAGAACCCTCATAGCTTTCAGCTATCTGGGGAAACAGATGGACACGGGAAAAGCGATCGACCGACGGGCTTCGTCTTCCTATCTTCCTGCCTAGCCATGGACAAACCCATGTTGCAAGGAGCAAGAGTCAGCCACAAAAAAAGTTGCCCGTCGTGACCCCTTGCACCTCTTTGAAGGAACACTGACATGGGCAAAACAGGCGTGGACAGTTTGTGTTTTTGAGAGGATCTGGTTTGATTGGGGGGGGGTCCGGGAATTGAAATTGATCAACAACATCGACCCTTGCCACTATGTACAATGGTGTTAAATACCCCCAAACAACAGGCTGAACAACTCCCCCAGGTTTCATGATGTGCGACCATTGCAGGCACTATACAGCCACAATGAAAAGGGCAGAAACCTTGTTTTTCCCTGGGAGTAGTGGTTAGGTAGCAGTTGTTCAAAAGCTCAGCTCTTCGCACGGCCGTGTTTCAAGCAGCACTTTTGGTGCGGACTTGTCCAGATAAGTTATTCATTTGTTGCCACATTGCGTGCAACTCAAGTTTGGCGCAAACACATGTTTGAATTTATGTTCGGTGACCATTGCCTTCCTCCGGCACAATGCACATGGGAACTGGATGTCAAATTACCATTTTGCGTCGCTGATGCAGCACACAGGTTGCGCACACAGCCTACCACTCACGTACTATGTATTGCATGTTGCATTTATTCACATATCGCCATAGACGTGGTCATACACAATTCCCTTGATGCATGTGCAAGGCTTTGAATTACACTTTGCAAGCAAAGAGACGGCATTGTCCGAGCCATGTCTCGAGCGATGCAGCGTGTGGCGTTGCTGAGCCGCTGGCTGAAACCGGCGCCGGGAGCTTTGGGCCTGCAGCAATGTCGCACCTTCGCGGCGCCGCGGCAGGCCGACAGAAGGTCCCATCAACGTGAATTGGTTTCTTTTGTTTGTTTGAGGGAGTTTTGTTTGGCGGTTTCAAAAAAAAACCAATGGGAAAACCACCACTTCGGGGGGGGGGGGGGGGGAAATTGACACCCGTTTGTTCATTTCTTTACAAACGAGTTTTTGTTTTAAACGGCTGTGCAAATGAGTATTGGCCTGGTTCTTGCATTGGGATTCTAGGCCCACGGTCTGACCGATGTCATGATTGCATGCTAAAGCATACTACTATAATATCAGACTGATGGCAATGGCCCTCAATCTGCTGAGGGGCCTCAAGATGAAGATGGGTGATCGAGGAACCTATTGGTTGGCCACTCACAGGACACCAGGAAACTACACGCCGACTTGATGGTGTTTGTTTGTCTATGGGCTAAGCTCAACATTGGAGCACGCCCTCAATATACATGATCGATTTGTTTGTGCCCCTTGAAGCAATAGCACCAAAGATGAATATTAGGTTTTCTGCTCAGGTGCATATCAAGGATGCAGAGCTGCTTCGCGCATGTCGGTGGTTTTCGTCACCTCAGGTTTGCCTTCGGCATTTGCCTTTGCTTGCAAGGGACCTCAAAGGTGTTTCTCAGTTGCCCAAAGCCAACCTTTTAACCTTTTGGTTTTCCGATTTTGATCCATTGTCAGTCATGGCCCCAAAAGGTTATCCTTTTATTTCTGGGTCCTTTGGGCAACTGAGGTTTGTGCGGATCTGTCAGTGGATCGTTGAGCAACATGAGCCTTGGACTTTGCGGCCGCAGTCAAGTGTATAAGTGCATATGTGCCCTGCAGAAGTTTGAAATCCAGAAGGCCCCACTTAAGTTGCGCAAACCGCACGGTCCGTCCAAGTCAAGGCTGCAGCTCCAAGAACCAAATGTGCAGAAGAAAACACAGTAGAGACGTCTTGCCAATTCGACTCCTGTGTGCGCGGTGCAACATTATGTCTCTTGGCGGTAATTCGCGAGATATGAGGGCCACGCAGGAGATGTTTTCAGGGACTCAAATCGGTGCGTTGTGCAATGCGTTCCATTCCACCCAACCCGACGGCAGGAACATTACCTTGACGTGAACGGGCGGAAGCTGCCGCTGGGCTATTGGAATGGCTTCGGGGGCAGATCAATCTCAGATTGTCCCTTGCGTAGCGAATCTAGCTTTGTGTGCCCAACTTCCTGGCCATGCTGGTATTCATGATGCATCCTTACATCTACCATTGGTGTTATCATGTAGTTGACTTGTGAGTACAGTATCACGGCAAGTCCCACAACCTGCGTAATTGAGGTGGGACAATAGATGCGGCAGTTTGTTTTGCCCCACGTTGAATGTTGGAGTTTGACTGCATGATATCGAATGGCTGCTACCTACACGGGACATACATGATACACATATATATATATATATGTATATATATATATACATATACACATAGATAGAGTTTGTTTATTTGCCCACGAACGCATATTGCCCTCCACAGCGCCGCCACATGCCAACGACTTGGCGGATTTTAACCGTCGCTTTCCACTGAAAAGAGTCCCACTCAACATGAGTGCTCTTTGGTTGCCTCATTGGCCATCGGCCGTCTGCGTGTCGGTGTGAAGCTCTTGGGCATTGGACTTTCTGGGGATTTCCTTTTGCATGCAATGGGATAGCGTTTCTGGAATCCAAACCGAATCAATTGAGTGTGGATGTCACAAGCAACGGGAAGTGCGTTATGGACTTGCTCTCCTGGGCTAAACTATAAGGCTGGGCTCCAGTTTGGTTCATCCGAGACGTGGCCATGCAACTGTCGATTGATTTCGCCTTCTGTTCTGGAAAGAATCTGTGGGTTGCCCTTTGAGTCGCTAGCAGGAATGAAGAAAAGCAACGTCAACCACGGGAATAAAACTGGTAAGACGATATACAACATGCTATGACGGCCCTTATGTGGCCATTGGTTTGTAAGCTGGAACGCTGCTTCATGCTGCTCAGGTATGTGGTGACGACGGGCGACCTCAAATCATCAGGCCAGCGCCACAAGCAATGCCCGTTGATACCTGGCTGACCTGCATGGTGCCTGTTGATTGGCTATGTTTGGTGCCTTCCAGGCTGATACCTGGCTGACCTGCCTGGTGCCTGTGGCGGTCGCTTTGCCAAACGTGTCAAGATGCTATTCGCAAAGATGGTACCCAGACTTGTTTCCAACCTGATAGGCCAAGTACACAGTATGTTGGTTGCTTGGAAGAGACAAACCAACCCGGAGCAGCTGTCATTGACGAGTCACCAACCATTTGTAGTGATACTTTTACAACGCAAAGCGTTGTTAGATGGCTATGTGGGGTAACTCGCGAAGCCACTGACGACAGATTGAAATCAAGTGGCACGGGCCGTTACATGATTGCCTGTTTGAGTTGCTTCTTGTGCTTCTGGTTGACGACCAGCTCTGACCTCATTTTTCTTGAGGCTCCCTACCAGCATTGACCAATCCAGCGGCATGTTTAAAAAACATGCCCCTTGGTGTTAGATTGAGGACCCGCATGTAGCAGCGCTGGCACTGTCGTTTTCCGCCCACCCAGCTCCCTTTAACTGCTTTTTCCTAAGTCAAAAGCCCCGAGTGTTGTCCTAAAAAAAAAGAAGAGGCAAGTTGTGCCCGGCTGTCGACATCAGCTTTTGGTAGGCCCTGAGACAGCAAGTGTGTTCTGCCCGGACAGGCTGCCACGCTGTATTCCGTTGTCACTGTATTTGAAGAGCCTACGGAAGGCATAATATGTCGAACGGTCTACTGATGAGCGGCACAGTTGCTCGCTGGATGTTGGGGCATATGATATATGTCTTATGTTTGTGTGCGTGTGGGTGGTCGTGAAATGATTGTAATTTTAATCATCCAGCTACGTATGCATGTTAACACGATGTTTGAAGACATCACGATTTGTTCTTAATTCACTCCGTTGTCAAGATGTTGCCAGCAGCAAACATCGACCATGGTTGACACAGTTGATTCTTTGTCCTGTTGCCTTTATGCAAACATCTCTTAGCGGTCCTATGTCTCACTTGACCTTGTTTGATGCCTCTACGTACTTACAGGGGCAGGGTATTTAGCAATTGGTTAGTTAGCCTGGTTATAACCCACTGAACGGAGACTTGTAACCATGGCTTTTGCGGGTTGTAGCCAGGCTTACTAACCAGCTACCTGACGCACAATGCCCCTTCAAGCAAACAGACCTAAGAAAGCCTGGAATGATGATTCCCCTGTAAATACCAGCGAACACAGGTTTCAATCATGGTTTGAAAGTGGTGCGACATGGATTTCGCAACCATCCACGGTATGTCTCAAACGGGGTTCTACGGCCCGGACGTGCGGACGTTTCTATGCCCAGTTGCGCCCATCATCTGCCTGCCGGGCGCTATGGGCACTGCAGAGACGGACGGGGCCGTCTCTTCGCGCGGAAAGAAGACATGGCGAGTTGGGAAGCATCCATTTCCTAACAAAAACACATGCATCCTTCAACATGGGCCCAGGGTTGTTTGGGTCTGTTTGGGGTTTGGCTTTGCTAAGGGCTCTTCTCTCTAGCTTTGTTACCCCGATTTGAGCTTTTCCTTGGCTGCAAGCGGCCAAACTCATGGAGTAACTCCCTGAAACCAATGCTGGAGAAATGACCAGTTTCAAGAGACAGCCAAGGGTCTCTCACACAAGACAAACTCAAACATCGGCACTCACAGACAGATGGGTATGGGTGAAAATCAAACCATCAGCAATCGGTTGTATTTGTGCTATTGGTGTTTCTTGGTGTTTGCTCACCTGTTTGT